TTCCTGAATGCAGGAGGCTCAAATTCCCACCAAGAATTTCAGGTGATGGTAGTGGTTTCTTTCTCCTCCAGTGGCTTTTGGAAAATGTTGGTTTTGGAAAAGAGGGGGAAAAGCATCATGAATTATAGCATATACTGGTATCTTTGCTTTGAATAGGTCTCTAGTCTGTGGCAACCTAATAATTTGCATTATTTTCTGGAGAAAATGATCCTACTAAGCCTTCTGTCACACAAAGGAGCTTTTCCAGTCAGAGAATTAGAGCTGGCATTTAGGTGACCTAAATGATCAGTGATAATCCATCAGTCTACCCAAAGGGGAAAAAAAATGTTCTTGTCATCATCACCCTAAAATTAAAGAGAAAATTCTAAATTTAGGTAGTGCGAAAATAGCCACCTTTATTTTGAAAACCAAAAATCTGCATTATATGCATTATATATTGGGTGTGTTGGGGAGCAGGGTTGTGTGGGTGTTTGTGGAGTTTTTTGTGGGGGTGGGAGGTATTTGTGTATACTGCTTCTCTGATCATTTTTCACATTCCACGGTAACAAAAGGTTTTAGAACTGGAACAAAAATACAGATAACTAAATACATCCATCCTGTAGACTGTTGATGCCTTAATTTTTTATTGAAGAGGAGAGGACCTCCAGATTTCCTGGAAATGTGCATTAGTGTATTCAGGAGAAAATCAATGCAATGTGCTCTATGTGACATTATGTGCAATGTGACTTTCATATTGTTTCTTTTCTTGAATACAGTCATTATAACATTTAGAACTTAGACTGGTTTTTCCTCTGTCTGCATTGTTAGTGCATGGAATAGGTGAAATGAAAACAAGACTGACCTCAAACCTTTCACTTTCCTTTTTCTTTCTCCTTTTGAAATAAAAGGTTAAGTAAGCTGGATATCAGGGGGAAATACTTTTTCCCTTTTTTTATTTTTATTGAGCTATTGAAGTAATTGGAAAGATGCAGTTTTTTCCAAAGACAGAAGACAAAACCCCAAATTGAATAATAAATCACATATGAGAGAAAAATAAAATAAATGCTATATCAAATCTGTCTAAAAATGTCCACAAAATTGAACACTGTAGAGACAGCTGAGTGTGGAGAAAAGATTGAACAACTTGTAGCCACCATTTATCAAAGAATGTAATTTAACAATTGTTGGCATACAAAAAGCAAGAAGTCAGAAAGATATATCACAGAAAATAAAGCACAATATATTATTGATATTTGAGAGCAAGGGTATATTATGGGGTTTGAAATTTGAATCTAGCTTTTTATGTTCAGGCAGTGATTTCTAAAAAACATTTTTTCAGCAGCACAGCTACAACAGAATTGCTTTTCTGATTTGAAAATGCCCTGAAAGCCTTAGTCCTGTGAAAATTAACTGCCACGACTGAGGACCTGGCACGGTTGTCCTCTCCTTTCTGGATCTCTCATGGTGGACTCCCCTGAGATCTCTGACCTTGACTTCTTGCTGTTCTGTGATCCCCTCGCTCTACAGACCTTTCCAACCTTTTTGTTTTACATATTCCGTGACCAGAAGAGCCTTCAGAAAATACAATGCTGTTTAATCTTGACAGAGAAAGTAGAAGAGATTTATTTCTCAGCCTTACCTAGAAATCTAGTAGCTCTGTCATGCCTTTCAACCCGGCTTCTGAAAATATGGTCTTTTCTTCCCACTTCGTCTTTCTTTCTTCTCTGGTCTTTAAAATTTTCCTTAAATTCCAACAAAGGTCATTGTTCACACTTTTCTGTAGCATACCTCCCTGTCCAGAATCAATTTCCTAAGAAAGACAAGACAGAGCAACTAAAGAAAAACACCCTTATAAATGGTTTTTACAGAAATCCCTGAACATATGGAAGTACCAGAAGTCATTTCCCTTCCTTTTTATCCATTTGCTGATTGTCTTGTTCATTTAGCCAAATAAAGCATGTGCCAACCACATACAGCGAATCCTAGTTTTTAGGTTCCATTGTACCCCCAAAATGACCAGTCCTAAAGCATTTTACTTGTGTTACAGAAGTTTCAAATCAATGTCCTACAAGTGTACTGCCTTGAGGAGAGACTCACTGCCTTGAAGACTTTGTCTCTTTAATCAGCAAGCAAGGAGGTCTAGGTGGAGAAAAAGAGAACATGTTATGTGAAATGCAGAGAAATCAACTGCCTTGCTGAAGACTTAGAGCAAAAGTGGATCCTTTGACTGTAACGTTGTTTGTAAAAACCCACAGGTCTTTTGTCACTGATTTTAGTGGCATAAAAAGCTGAGTTATCCCACATCTGGTGCTCTAACCAAGATCTCACCTTCCCTCTGCTAAATTTCAGTCTTGCTGGTGCTCGTTTGAAACATTTATCTACACTTCTCTTCCATGACTTTTCATGTAATGATGATAAGTTGATAAAAATTTTCAAACATAATGGATATAGCTAAAAGTTGTATTCTCTTTACACAGAATGACAAGGAGAGTAAAGAGGGAAGAGAGAATTTTTTTTTTTTTGCCTTTGGAAAGAGAAATACCTACCTCAGTGATAACAGTGAAAGGGAATTTTCCCTCATGCTAGGTATCAAAAAGATGGTTTGTTGATGGACACAGCTCCAGCTAGTTGCCTGCAGTAGGCAGAATTATATTTTGAAAGACCATTTTCAGCTAATTTGGCTGTTGTGCCATTTGAACTTTACGAATTGACTTGTAATTGGACCGTGCTGTCAGAGGAAAAACTTACAAGTATTGAACATGACATTTTTAAGAAGGTTACTGTCATCTAGTCCTCTATTAGTGGATTTGCAGAGAGTTATAATTGGCCTAACAAGCCTAGTAACCTGCCCTACTTCCAATTATAATGTACAATCTCATTTATATCTTTTCTTTATTTACCGATACGTGATAGGTAATAATGCTCTGTCTAGTGCACACGCTTCAAAATAAAGCTGTCTAATTATAGAATGCATGGATTCTTCTAATATACATATATATAGGTACCCAAACACAGATTATATCGTTTCCAGATGCATATGTGTGTATATATATTTATTCTGAAGAATTCAAGTACATGTGTATTTTAATGTATGTATTTACATATCCATACTCACACATATATCATTTTTATTGGGATTAAGTAAGTATAAAGTTTCCTGTTGCTTTTAAATTTCCCGTGGGGAGAGGGAGATAGTATTTCCTCCAGACCTTTGTTAAGTTTACATGAATAATCTGACTAGAAGTGATAATGCATTCACGTGCATGTAATTCTTAGGGCTGAAAAAGAAGGGGAAGCGTGAGAAAATGAACAGGTTGATGAACTCGGTGCATTCATTATCAACTTATATTTGCATGAAGGAGAAACCACTCACTTCTTGTGAAATTAGAACGGCACCATTAATTTTGTTTACTGCACAAGCAATTTTTAGCATATGCAAGATTTACAGGCAGTTTTGCAGGTGAATGTGTCTTGTTAAATAGCCTTATGGAAAGAGCTCTGCAGGAGCATCTGCACTCGTTGTACCTCCCCAAAGCAGAACTGTTTCATGAAGTAATGCTGAGTGTAGACATCATGAGACTGCTTTTTTTTGTTTTGTTTTCACTGCCAGGAGAATTATGCCAATTTGGCATGGTGCATCTGGAAGTAAAGGAGGGATCAGTGAAGGAAAAAAAATTAATATCTAAGAAGCTGACATTTTTTGTTAAAAATCTCAGTTTTCCAGCAATTTCTTCATATATATGTGGCAAATTGGCCTTCACTGCCATGTCTCCTTTTTTGTCTTGGTAAAGACTGATTGGTTAAACAGCAGACAAAAAAAGCCCAAATCAAACCAAAATAAAACGAACAAAACAAAATAAAAAACTAAACAAAACCATAACCAAAACCAAACCAACCAACCAAACAAACTCCTTTAGGTATGAACAAGAGAAGCAAACAGAGCAGACTGGGAATTGGGTCTTTCTCCTTTTCTTTTGTGCCTTTTGGTCACAAGTGTAGCTGCCTTTGACTTGTTAATGTAGTTCTGTCTTACAAGAAGGGCCAGCAGAAGAGGAATTACTTGGGTTTCTTTTCTGAGGTACCTTTTTTTCCTGGAGATGCTCTTGAATGAAAGCCTTTTCAGAGTGCACTTGATAGTTTAGGGAGTTGTGGATAGTATCTTTTTGTGTAATTTAGCTAACAGAGTGATTCCATTCTAACTTTGGGTCCTAATTATCAACAGCATTATCTATGAGCCTCGGAAAACAGAAAATAATGATTCTATTTATTTTGGTGGTAGGGCAGAGGTTAATGGAACATTTTAAGCTGCTACTCATGTTTTTCTTACTTTGTTGGGCATACACGGTTAATAGCGTGAAAATATGTGATTTCAGGATACTCAAGGAAGACTTTAGAAAAAGGCTCTCCCTTTTTCTCTGAATTTGAACACTGATCACTGTTCATTAAAATATTGCCTGCCCCTTTTGCTTTGCGTGCTCCATTGGTGCAAGAACAACCTGAAGATATAGGCTTCAATGAAGAAAAACAATGATCATATAACATAGATTATAAATCCTTGGAGTGTCTGCAGTTTAACCAATGTTTGTTTGCATCAGCTTCACAGAAGAATGATGTTTCAAGAAATAGGAGCAAGGGAATGATGTAAGATTTAGGTACTTCAGAATGCACTTTTGGCCGGGCAAATTGCACTAAGTTTTAGAATTCACAAATGTGTGTACATATGTTCTCACCTGCTTGTGATTAATGATCCATGATTTTTCTGCTCTCCTCGACATGCTTTTTGAGTGCGTGTTCTGATATATTTTCTAAGTTTTCAACACAGGGTTTCTGACAGAATCATAGATCTGAAGTATCTCATAGCACTGCAGTGTCTCTAATAAATAGGTCAAATAATCCTAGCAACTGTGTTTGTTAGCTTTGAATCGATAGTGATAAAGTTTCTCTGTATTCTTACCTGCTCAAACTTCTGTCTAATCTATCTTTGTTCTCTTCTTCTTGTGCAATCTTTTCCTTGCTTCCAGTGGCTGCTACAAAGAACAAAGCTAGAGGTGAGTTTCTGCCTGCGCTCTTCAATTTGTGTTGCATGGTTCTGCAGCCCACGCATTTTCCCATGAGGTTGTTTCTGCTTCTCAAAACAAAGAAAAATATCTTTAGGTCTTACTGTATGATAGATTAGTTCTTTACAATTTTGTAATTGCACCTAAGTGCAGACTATTTTCATTGTTTTTATCAATCAGCACTGCTCACGCTGTATTTTGTTCACTGCTTTAATTTAGGAAGTTTTTAGAAAAAAGATAAAACCAAGTGCATTGTAGTTAGATTTCTGGCTTGCATTATAGCAATGCAGGGATATTTATGGCATTTTAATAGAAATGAAGATATTGCATAAAAATGCTCATAAATATGTAAATGTAATTTTTATTTTTTATCTCTAATCATAGTCATAAATATCTGAACAGAGAACAATGAACTCCTAAATGTCTCCTAAGCATTCCCCGTCTCTTCACACCAGTATAAATGATCATCACTGTTTCTGATAGCATACCAATATATAGGAAGGCATGCTATATTACCTACAGAGATTCATGACTTCAGAGCAGCAAGGTGATTGCCACAAATCAGTGTGACAAAGAAATAAACCTTTCAGAACTAATCATGTAAGGTCAGCAGTGCTGTAAACCACTTCCTGAATTTCAACGAAGCAGTGATGTAGCAAATGTAACCTGAGGGGTGTATTTTGACTTACATATACATATAAATCCATACATGCTTGTGTATATATATGCATGAAAATGTATTTATATGTATGAACATGTATTTTCATAGAAAAGCATGAAAATGTAATTTTTTTCTGTTATTTCTGTCAGATAAAATTGAGTTTTCTGATAATTAAACATCAGGTTTTAAGGGAAATATCTATGCATGTTTGTGTGTATTTTGAAAGTTAAGAGCTCATACTCAGGATGTTTATAAAGTTTAGTTATATACATTGCTTAGCTTAAGAAGTAGAACAATAAAGATAGTCAGAAAAACCAGCCAATTGATGGTGTTAATGTGTTAGTATAATTAAATCAATAATTAAAATACATCTCAGATTTATTTTTTTTAAACCCTTGCATGGCTTTTTTTTTTCTCAGAAACTTTGCATGCATTGAATGCCATGAGTGAGGGGAGTGAATAAAATTGAGTTCATGTATTTGCCTATGCATGCTTTGAAATTTGCTTTACTCTTTTCTGTACTGTTATATATTCAGCTGTGATGCTGTAAAACGGTGGGTCAAGACTTTAAGACCTTCATAATTAACAAAAAAAGAAAAAAAAAAGGCAAAACCAAAACACATCCACAGAAGCAAATTTTCAGCACAAATAAGCACAATCTCATCCATATTCAGTGATCACTTCACGTACCCATACATTGCCATTCAAACAGAAACTGCCCTGGAGGCACTGGAGTTATAGAATGAGTCAGAATTACTCATGGGCCCCGCTCATCTGTGGACATTAACACACCCTTATTTCAGAAGCACACACGAATGTTGAATACACAGCTGAAGCTATATTTGGTAAACTGGGCTTGACACTGTGATGTACATTATGTACATGTATATTCACAGTTGCACAGTGCCTTCAAGAAGTCTTCAGCTCTTCCTTTGGTGTGATGAAGGTACCCAATACCCACAAGAAATTCAGTCCTGCAATAGTTCTATCTTTTAATTAAAGCATAGGACCTATTTTATAATCTCCTGTGATGGAAGACATAAAGTAAATGATGTCTTACTGCTTTTCTTGTTGCTCTGTCTAAGCATTAAAGAAGGTTCTGTTCATCCTTTGAAAGTATCACACTTAACTGGCAAACAGGTGTCTAACATGGCATCAGAAACATCAATTCACAGCTGAGAGAATTCTCAGAAGGAGTCTCACTTTTGGTACTCACAATATCTAATCTGCCACTCTTTTATGTCTGTGATCTTATTTATGGATCTTCATCTTTCCCTCCTGAAAGTCTGGAATTTGTACTGCCATTTTCAGCAAGGTGCAGCTGGGGCTCACGCCTGCCCTGAGATCTGAGGTTTTCCTGAGCTCATTAGAGGGTGATATTCTGTGGGACCACCTGTCTTTTGTTTGTGCACTGTTAGCATGGGAAAACTGCCGATCTCCCTCTTCCCTCCCCCTCCTCGTGGGATTGTCTGTAAGGAGGGCACCCTTGCTCTCAAACATTGCATTCAATAGTATTTCCTTTCAAGTATTTTCTCAGACTTTATTGAAGACTGCTTGTATTAAGTGCTGTAAAGCAGCTGTTGAACTCTCTACTTTATCCTTGCTTTGTGGCACTTAGAATCAATTTAGGTTGGAAGGTCATTTGGTCTGCAGGTCATCTAGACCTAACTACTGAATAAGTAAAACCCTCTTAAATCTGATTGCTCAGAGCCTTCCAGTCAAATTGAAGTATCTCAAGGATTTCACAGCTCCAGGATAGATTCACACAATGATTGCTTTGTTTTACCGTGGTTTTCTTTCTTAGACTGTCAAACCTAGAAGAAACAGCATGAGATTTTTTGTGTTCTCCAGAAAGGGTAAATACTTGGATTTTGCATAGAAGGATGGATCTTGCTTTGGACCACTTTGGGCAGGTGCTGCCACAGCACAGTCATGTTTTGAACAGAATACTTGTGACATTTCCAAGAAGTCTAGTTCAGAAGGATTTTAAAGGGTAGGGGCTAAAATGAAACGTGAAAATGGTCATTTACGGCTCTTAATTTGATGAAGCAGAAACTGAAGATGCCACCTGAAAATCTCAGACTATCAGAATTGTTTCAGTGCATAAATATTTTAAGGACTGTTTCTTAATGCACCAGATGAGATTTGTTTAACTTGATCTCTATAAATGAGCATTTCCTTCAGCAAAGCATTGGCTTGAAGACTGCTTGACCCTTTATGAAGGGCCATTGTGACATTTTGGGGGCAATATTATTGCAAATATCTTCTGGCAGCAGTTGACAATGGTTTCCAGGCTCTGTGATCCTACCAGATCTGCTAATGATGTGTCAATTTTCAGTCAGCAAGTGAAAGAGAGGGGCCAAGTGTCTTCATTTGAATGTAATCATTTGAGGAATGGAGTCTGTGCTCCTCATTTTCATTTCTTTGATACATTCTGTGGCATCTGCTGTTAAGTTATTTCCAGAGCTGCCCCAAACCTCAGTAAGGTACTTGGCTTTATAACCCTTCCAAATGCAAATTGGAATCTGTGGTAATTTTGGTTGTGGGGGTTGCTGGGTTTTGTGTTTGTTTCATGGTGAGTTTTGGGATTTTGTTGTTGTTGTTGCGTTTGGTTTTTTAGTTTGGTTTGGTATTTTTAGTTGGGAACAGTGAGGATGAATATGGCAACCTCCTACTGAAAGAAAAATAAAAATATAAAGACCAATTGCTGTCGTAGGAGGGGAAAACGAGCCCTCGGAAAGATCAGTTATCATGTGCATGTTGAGAAGGACAACATTTCTTCCTGTTCTTAAGACTCCTGAGGCCAACAGATTGGAAATGGTAACATTTCCAAGAAGATTCCAAAGTCTCAAGAGGAGACTGGGGAAAGATGTAACTGGCTTAACTTTGCAGGATTTGTGCTATCCAATCTATATAAAAACCTGTTGGATTGGTAGCTGTTTCTGCCGTGCTCCTTTCCCCCATCTTAGCTATATAGCTCTGTTTTTAATTTTTCTCAGTGGGAAATAACCTTCATATCATAGTCCCACTGCTTCTCCTAATGAAGTACTGCTTTTGTACCCATTCATTCTATATATAGACAACACTGTATTCTCTCTCCACAACTGGTTTCTAGAGGAAGTCCTATTGATGGGAGATATCTTTAAACTTTTCTTCTATTTTAATATTACACTTTTAAGTACATTAAATGCCTTTACCTCTATTTCACTTCCTTCACAAGTTTGATATTAACAGTACTATTTTTTTAGCTTGTTGAATATCCAGGAGATTTTTGAGATGCCTCTTTTTCTTGACTTGTACTGCACCCATATCCCAAAGAAATTGTCTTTGTCTTTGAGTTCCAGGGTTAAACATTTTTTTCTTTCAGTCAGTTCCTCTACAAATGCAGAGGTATGTTGTTTCTGCCTTACTTTTAAAAGAGGAGACTGGTTTAAACTCCTTCTTTAAACATAAGATTAAATTTAGCTTTAACAACGCTACTTAAAACCTACATCTCAGTCTCTAATATAAATCATCGTAGCAGTTGATACACTGTCTAAATGCATCTTGTCCAGGAGGCAAAGATTGCTCTGGACTTTATTCACTTGATTTATTTTGTTTGTTCTCATTATGTCAATGAAATTGGTATCAGCTTATTTGAAGTTTAAATCAGGAGGGATCATGTGAAGGATGTTGTGCAAATATACTCTGTTATTGCCTGGGTAGTTGTGCAATGACTCATTTTATCTTTTAGTTGGGAATCAATTTGTTTCTCTGGACTTCACCAGATTTCCATCAATGGTCATGTCCTACCCAACCATCTCTTAGATTTTCTCACAGCATATGGTAAAGTTTATTGTGTTGCTCTACATAAGTATTTGAAAATCATAGTGGTGAATAATAGGTTTCATTAATTCCATTGTTTGGACTGAAAACCATATAAACCAAGATAAATTGTGTTGACCAGAACTGATTAACACAGCTGGAAGACATGCAGAGTCCAAACCCACCACTTTAGGTCCTTTCTTCAGAACATGTAATTAGACAAGCATATGTCTCACTCAAGGTAAAATTACCATAGAGTCAAGCAAGTAACATGGAGCAGCAGCATCTGTCCATGTTAGGACCAGGAGGAGATAAATGTACACAGAGGAGACACAAACACTGCTATTTGTCTTATTTGCATTATTTTCACAAATTTCTGAGCTATTCAGTTATTGACTTCAGTCAGGTATTAGCTCTGCTGTTGCAGTGTTTTCTTTACTGAGGGATGGATAACTCAGGGTATCGTGCAAAAATGACACGCTGCAACATTATGGCAAAAATTAAAAACAAGTGGAAGCGTATAGAT